AAAAAAAAAGAGCTGTGCACCACCAAATCAGCTGTCCTGTCAGTCTAATCAAAGGAGTATAGCGCAAGCGCTCTAAATCTTTGGTTTTTGCTGTTAAGTAAACTGTCATATTAGCAGAAACCTTAAAAAATACAGCTCCGAGTAACCCGCGACAGACACCAAAAGTTTCTCCTCCATCATTGCAGTCTCCGGACTTTCTAAGCAATGGTATAACTTTCGTCATCACAACGGAAGGCCCGCCTCTGCGTTCATTCAATTGGACAATGGGAAAAAACGCAAATGATGTCGGGTGTTTTTCTGCTCAGTTGCTTTTTTTTTTTCAACTTCAGGCGCTCAGAGCGCTCCTGCAAAAACGCGAGGCGCACAGGGAGCATAAACAGCGCGCAGAACGCTCACTACCAACCGAAAACTATTTAAAAAAGGCGCCTCACTGCAAAAAACACGTTCTGTGTGATCGGGGCCTTAGTCTTCACCATAGCACCAGATAATTAATACTTAAAGACCTGACTGATAGGACGATGGCGAATGATTTGCAGATACTGAGCACCACTGACAAATATCTAATCTTGTTAAATATGTGGTAGTGGCAGTAGCCTACCTCCCAGTACTGCCGCTACGTAGTAGAGTCCGTGTGATCGCGAATCTCGAAAGTGAAAGTAAAATGAGAGCGAGCATTCGAAAGCGGTTTCAATGCCCTGCAAATTAGTAGCGGCTCCCTGATGCCCGCAGTTTATATACAGCATAATTACCCAACGATATAATTGCGAGAGAAAGTATTGAAATATTTTATCATCCCATCTCGTAGGCTATTTATTCCCTTTAGGGGTTCTGTAGTACACTTAATTTCCTTTCTGAACACGAATTGGGATGCGGAGGATTGCGGGGGGGATCACAATGCCGGCTCAACATCGTGATGTTGGCGATGGCATCGTATATCGGCCCAACCCTAACTCTTGCATCCATCTACAACATATTATAACATGAAAACCAAATAAATAGAGTCATAATTCATTAACAGTAGATCATAAGCTTGGCATAAATGTGCGACAAAAAACTCTGAGCCAGTAGAAAGTTGTATGACCTTAAAACATGACAAAACTGAATTTAAAACGTGTCACGACTTTAAGGGCATGCAGGGAACATTATTTTGGCCAATACTCTTGACTTTAAAACTTAGTAAGTTTCTCAGCAGACATCTTATAGTATACTTAATGTCTTATTATATAAATGAATAATGAAAATGTTTGAAGTTCGAATGAAGTTTGACCGTTTCCTTACCGCTGTTCCCACAGTCTGCACAGGAGATGAGCTCTTCGGGTTTCTTGTCGCGGTTCTGTTCCTTGGTCCCCAAACAGAAACTACAAATGGGTATGGGCTCTGCCACAGGCTGAGAGAGAAAAACAGAGATAAAGAGCAAATAAGACAGAGTTATTGGCTAAATAGATCCAAATAATATGGTGAAACAGAGGTCGGAATATTGTGTAATTGAGGACAGTTTGGATGAATTAATTGCCCTTTATGAACTGTATTAAGGTCTGCTTCATTCAATTCCGAGCTGAGGACACTACTAATATCTCTTCACAGATTTAGCAAAGCCTGAAGAAAATAGACTGATTTTTACATTCTGGTTCAGGAAGAAAAAATAAGAAAAAATCAGCATGCATTACCAGTCAAAAGATTTTTTAATGTTTTTGAACATGTTTGTCTCGCACGCACAACAAGGCTATATTTATTTGCACAAAAACACAGTAAAATAAGTCATATTGTGAAATATTACAGCTTACAGTCAAATAACTGTTTTCTATTAATACAATTTAAAATTTAATGCATTGCTGTGATCAAAGCTGAATTTTCAACATCATTTACTCCAGTCTTCAGTGTCACATGATCCTTCAGAAATCATTCTAATATGCTGATTTAATGATCAATCAATTATTTTTTTTCAAATGATCAATTATCAGATATTTTTAATCGAATAAATACAGGCTTGAGTATAATCATCATTCAAAAATGTTCAAACTTTTGACCGGTAGTGCATAAATGTTACAAATTATGCTCAAAGGTAATTTACACCCAAAACACTAAATTCCTTCAGAAAAAAAACACAAATTTTACAACAAAAAGTGGTATCACTCAATGGGAGTTTTAAGGCATTTTTAAAGCTCCATGCTCTCACAAAGCATGATTTATAGCAAAATAAAAATAAAAAATGCTTCAGAGGATGCATCCAGTCGATAAGTGGGCATCAAAAAGCCCCCAAAAGATCTTACGGACACAAACCATAGTGGCTCAAAGTTTTGAGGACCAAAGGCTGCAGTGGGCATGATCACAGTGAATGTGTGGGGCTAGAGGTGGGTTTATTGTCAGGGTGTGGGCACAAAAGCATGTGTTGATGCTTATTCTAAGCCACACCATCTGCTTCTGGAGCACCATTAATCTTTCAGTGTGTCCAAGAGAGTCCCACCCACGACACAGTATGCATCATACACCACAAACAGTGCACAAACAAACACATGCATGTGAATGCAAGGAGACAGATGTGTGGAAAAGGTTCTGCTCAAGAGGAGCTGAATGTATATAGCTATACAGATGTTGTGCAACAGTGCAAACAAAGACTGCTACTACGGTTCTGAAGAAAGACGCAAGGATATTGTGTTCATATAGCGTTCTTGACTGGCTGCAGAAAGAATTAAGAAATGGCAGATTTAGGCTGGGAGAAAAAAGGTCAGTGCGCACATGAGGATGTTTCTAAGGTTTGGGTTGTGTGTGTGTGTGTGTGTATGTGTGTGTGTGTGTGAGAGAGAGAGAAAGCAGGTCCAGGCAGGGAGGAGAGAGGACAGTGTGATTTATTGGGTTCATTTTCCTCTGACTCAGGTCCACACACACATACATACTCAAGGGTGGGTCTCTAAGAAAGAAAACCAAACCCTTACACACACTTCTCCCAGCCAAAAGATCCAATCAGAACTAGGCTAAACAGAATACTGTTGTATACTTCAACCATTTAATGTCTCTTCTCTATTCATGTTGAGACAGAACTAAGACTTCACAAATCAGAGCTACAACAGGATATAGAAATCGTACTGCCTTTAGCATCTTATCTGATGAACAAAATCAAGCTAGAAAGATTTTGCAGTTTACAATCATGAACAAACAGATGGTTTACCCATGAAAACGCATGTCGCTCAAGTTCACAAAATAAAAATCTAATTCATTTTACTGCAGTACTCTGCCCTGGTTCAACATTGTTTTGATTCAACATCTGCTGTTATTGAATGAAAATCATTAGGGGGAAAAATATTATATTAAGATCTAACTGTTCAGTGTATAACTAACTGACAAACATAATACAATCTGCACAACAGGGTATCAAACTAACACTCACCACCAGCCAAATATAGGTATGTTTTGAGTAGTTGCCAGTAATTTTGCTAATCTACCAGCCACTAGTGCTGTGTGCAATACATCGATACGACGATGTATGGTCACAGAGATTTGACGATACGAGTATCGATACAGCTGGCCCTGTATCGATATTGTGGCACGTGTGCAGCAGTGAACCGCACTTAATTTGAATACAAGAACAACGTTTAAAATTGAGCAGAAAAGTGCGAGGTTTCTAAAAAAATTATGAATAGAGCATAATATATAGGCAATAACAAGGTTTAATCTGGCCGCAGAGGAACACAACTGGGTTGCCTGATATAAAGAGACGTAATCCCCGAAACAGAGCTTCCCACTTGCGCAATACGTAAATATCTGCTAAGTGTCTGACTGATATTAAGAGTGTACTTTCAGATATTTAAAAAGCTGTACCATTTTACAAACATTATATATGTTTGTAAAATGGCATAACTTTTTATATATATATATATATATATATATTAGTATTTCAGTCTGGCGAGTAAACAAAAAAATGTACTAGCCAATGGCGATTCAATTGCCAAGGTGTCCGTAGAGGGTTGTGTTCTGACAGGTGCGTACACCTGAACCATGCACATACTTAAAGGGATAGTTCACCCAAAAATGAAAATTAGCCCATTATTTACTCACGCTCAAGCCATCCTAGGCATATTTGACTTCCTTCTTTCAGATGAATCCAATCGAAGTTATATTAAAAATATAACGGAGCCATGTGAGGCACTTTTTATCATGTATGCATTCACTTTATTTCACTTCTTTTGGACTTATGAACTACAACACCTACTGACTGCATTTAAAAAGCCTGTCAAACAGCGCCTGATTACTGGACTAAGTTATCTTTTGCGTCTGATTGCACAAATATGGTAATAAACACACAAGGTTTACCAATAAACACAGTTGGTTATGTAAACAGTTGAGAGAAAAATTAATCCGTGCCTGTTTATTAGATGCAAGCAGGTCTTAAAGTGACAGTAGCCTAATAGCACTAAACATGCTGCCAATTGTCATTAAAGGGATAGTTCACCAAAAATTTTAAATTGTAATTTTTGTCATTTTTCATTTGTTGTTGTCCCAAACCTGTATTAATTTATTTCATGTTCTGAACACAAAAGAAGATATTTTAAAGAATGTGGGTAACCAAACAGTTGCTGGTCCCCATTGACTTTGATAGAAGGAAACAAAATACTATGGAAGTCATAGCTTTTATGTTCAACATAAAAGAAAGAAACAAACTCGTTCAGATTTAAAACAATTTGAGAGTGAATAAATAACAGAATTGTCATTTTAGGGTGAACTATCCCTTTAATGTTAATAAAACAACAAAACAAAGAGAAAAATCACTCACTGCTCTCGAGTGAAGAACTTCCGTACAGTTGCTTCAATAAGAATCAATGTATAATTTATACAGTGAAGTGTTAACAGTGTTTTATTTTTATATTTGTTCATTCCATTTCTTGAATGCTACTGCTAAATACCTGAAAAATAAATCACTGTTTGTTTTATTTGTATATTATAAATATTTGTAATGTGTATCTCTCTAATTTTTTTTGTAACAAAGGTAAAATAGTGATTTTTATCATTTCCCGGTCTGGCCTAAATATCTGCCAATCCTTTTTATTTTATATTCTGTTACCTTGTAAGGCTTTGTTTTTAAAATAGGGAAATTAATGTGGCTGTACTGCTCAGACAGCTTGCAAAATAGTAAAACCAAAATGACAAAGAATCGTGGTAAAACAGTGAATCGTGATTTTCCTGACAAAAATCGTGATATAATATTTTTGCCATATCGCCCACCGCTAATGGAAGCCAAAATGGCTTGGTCATCAACATTCTTCAAAATATATTTTTTCATGTTTCACAGAAGAAAGTTATACAGGTTTGGAACGACATGAAGGCAAGTAAATTATAACAGAATTTATTTTTGAGTCAACTGCCCTTTAAAAACATCTTTAGTAGGGATGCACCGAATGTTCGGCAACCGAAATTATTTGGCCAAAAATAGACCAAATTTATGCAATAGTAAAAAAAAGGCAAAATATATGGTGAAAAAAATGCGAAAAACTGTGTTCGGTATTCGGCCCAGTGTTTCATTTTGTTCGGCTTCGGCCAAGAATATTCATTTCGGTGCATCCCTAATCTTAATTTAAGGGGGTCTGAATACTTTCCGTACCCACTGTATGTAATGATAGACAGATCGAACAACAACAACAACAGTATGACAGACAGATAAATTCTTGGCAGATTCTGTATTTCCTCTATTTCTAAAAGCCCTTTCATGGCAACACAAACATTAAAACACCTTTCAGATCAGGTGCAACTGACAAAAAGCCTCCTGCTGACTTGAGAAGCAATGAGAAATGAAGCCCACTGGTTGGTTTATCAAGTCTCAGGGTGGCTTCTCAAACAGAAGTGGCAAACAAGCCAAAATCCATTGTACTACGCAGACCATTCCTGTTAGACTAACTAAAGTGAGGGATTCAAATTTGGAGGTCATGCTAGTGATACAAATAGCATGCAGCTGCAAATACATCTTACAGCAGGGAGTAATGAAGCAGAGAACATGTGTGCTAAATCACATTCAACCTTGTAGAGCTCAAATCCATCATAGGACATGACGACCATACCATTGCTAAGGTCATACAAGGGTCAGCGCAAAGTGGTACATAAACCAAGGTGCAAAAATTGTGAACTTGTGAAACATTTAACTATCCATATTACAAATACAAAAAACAAACAAATACAATACATACTTTTCATTTTAATACACAACATGGAGAAAGATACATAATATATTGAGAAAGCAATGTCAGCTCATAACCGTGCATTTTGGCTGATTAACAGAAAAGATCTAAAATCTACCAAAAGCCTTGTCAAAAAATTCTGATTTCAATTTTGCATGAATTGAGTAAATATTGTGATATTACAGATATTACATAATTTGCCAGACTGCATCAGCATTAACCA